AGCTCCATCGCCCAGCCTGCATCCCCATCCCCGCCTGCTGCCCTCTCCCTCGCGCTGCAGCGGTGCGGATGGAGCAAACCCTGCGGGAGTGCGGGGAGCCGGGGCTTTCCTCTCACGGAAATCTCTGCACAGCCCGGACCCGTCTGGGGTATTGTTAGAGGAGCCGGGTCTTGGCAGGGAAAGGCTGTTCTGCAGAGGGAGCAGGGGAGGAAAACATGGGAAATAGGACAGGAAGGAAGCAGGGCATGGCTGGGCTGAAGGAGCTGCTGTGTCTGACGCCAGGAGGGGACAGGCCTGTTCCCCCCACTCTGAGCTCCTCCGAGCCGTCGTCCCCTGGGAGCTGGGAGCCGGGGAGGAGGAGCGCAGCATCTCCTGCAGACTCTTAGCAAATTCAGGCATGCCCAGCTTCCTTGCCACTTACCAGCCAGCAGCTGCCTCCCAGGGCTAAGCAGAAATACAGGTTTTAATGGGGGGAGGAGGAGGAGGATGGGGATTACATCTTGAGGATCACGAAACGCGAGGCTGTTTTTCCCTCTTGTCTTGGTTCCCTGCATGCAGGCAGCCATGATCTCACCGGGGCCATGGGCAGCGCTCCCGGCTGTCGCTGGGTGCATTCCCACCGTGCATTGACCCCTCCAGAGTAAACTCAGCGCTCGGGCTGTGCGCTGCTGTAAATCATCGGGATCTGTTTGCTCTGGCCAGCAAAGCAGAGTCGAAAGCAAACGCGTTCCTGGAAGCGCCGGGCTTGGCGTGCCCCGGGGTCGGGCCTCTGTCTGTCCGCTGCGGTTCTTCCCCGGGGTGGCACGCGGGGCTCTGCCGGGGCTGCCTGCGGCGGTGGGAAGCGGAGCACCGCAGGGGCTGCACTGCGGCTGCCGGCCCTGGGTGCGCTCCCGACGGGACGGGGTGCAGCGGTTGTTTTGCGCTCTCTGCGACGTTGCCCTAGTGACGCTGGCTTCCTTCCCCTCGCATGGTTTCTCAAAGTCTCTGGCAGCTCCACCTCCGCCCTGCGCCTCAGCTCTTGCAGCGCGGCCAAGACCCGCGGGGAACGCGCTGCCCGCGAGGACACGTGACGCGACGCCCTGCTCGGCTGTTTGCTTTTGGGGACGGGAA